CTCGACGAGACCCCGCGTGCAGCATCGCTCGTCCTCGGCGCTAACGAGCGGCGCGGCGATCGTGCTCCCACGGAAGTCTCCCCCGCCGCCGCCGCGGTTGTCCACGAGTCTCGCCACCTCCGGGCGGCCGCGCCCCGTCCGCTGGTCGCACGCGGAAGCGACGGCGGACACGCGCGCGGTCTTCGAAGCTCCGCTCGCAGTGTCGGCGCCTCCCGTCACGCGAGCGAACCCATGTTTGCGCCGAAGACGAGCAGCGATCGACGTCCGAGAATCCCGGTCATCGTACAACGCGCGGGCGAGCGTGGGGGAGCCACCGTCGGGGTCTCTGCCCGCGTCGCGAGGGAAAGCGATCGACGGCGGTGCGTGCGAATCCTCGCTGGCGTCGACGTGACGCGCGTGGATGTGGAATCGTGGCTACAAATAGTGGCCGCATGACCCTCCGCACATCCTAAGTCGGACTCGTTGATCTTCAATAACAATATTTCAGAACGAAGTATTGCTTGCAGCGCACAAGTTAGTTCAGTCCACACTATAGTGCTTTTCGACAATTCTTCAAATCTTGTTCAGACGTATATCAGTTAAAGTATTCAGATCCTGCAGGAATGTTTTTCACTCTACGGCATCTCCACCAAATGCCGTCTTTACACCTCAGTTGCCATTCTACCATTTGCTGGTGATTGCATGCAACATTACAGCAGTCCGTTTGCTCGCAGAAACGCGATTGTACTGGGCACGTCAAAACAGTTTTAAAAAAATCGCATCCATGTCATTGCTGTGCAATGACGATTGCTATACTTATAATAAATACGTACTTTTGCGAAAGAAAATTGTCACACGCTCGTGAGATTTTTCCCGGAAATGTCAATTTCAACGTTATGAAACTATTCAACTTTGATGCAGAACCCAAACAAGCATATTCATAATAACTTTCGGCATGTTCTACATAATGTATATTCAGAAGCCTAAAATAACAACATAAAATCATAGAATATTTTGAACTGTTTTTGTCAGAATATTGTTTAATCCCTTCATATTTCGTTTCTCTGTTACGAGTCTTTGTGTCTCTGTTATATCCTAAGATTTAAGTAATTATATGTTTCGGGATTTTCTCTCCAAGTTGTCTCTAGGCGTTTTCCCCTGAGCCACGTCGGGTACAACAACATAACAAATCAGGTATGCACGAGAGAGATATCAAGCCAGAATATCAAATAAGAAACAGGGAGATTCTATTTAGTGACGTTTTTTTAAATACGTCTTTGCACATTATGTTAGTTGACGTTACACACTATGTTCAACTGTGTTAGCTAATTATAAAACACTGACCAACTAGAGCTTCTTCTTCACAAGCGAAATCTACATAGTAACTTACTGTAAAGGGAATATACAGTGTATAACGACACCGTGCAAGCGATGGGTTTAAAATAGCATATTATACAATGAAAATGTGACGCTTTGATATATGAACTGATTTTAAGTCGATAGGGAAGACTAGGTGGCATACCAACAGCCGAGCGAGATTTTAAGAGTGAGCTACGCTCCCCATCATTATAGCCATCGCTTAATCAGCCATTAGATGGCGTAAAAACACTCTTATACTCCAGGATCTTAATTACTTACGCAATTGTAAAATATGG